CACATCAATAACGGGACCCTTGATGGCCATGTTGTACGAACTCATTGCACTGCATTGCTTCGCAAGCAACATCTACGCATATTCCCTATTACATGATGCATGCATCAAGTCCAAGTACACTATGCTCGTGCCATCACCCCGCGCTATAGCAGCCCCACGTACCACGCAACACAGCACACACACACACGCACGCACAAGGCAGCGTGCTGCGGCTGTGTTGCTGCTTGCGACCGTGCGCATCAGCCACAGCTTGGCTGCACGCACACACATAGCCCCTTGGCAGCCACATGCGGGCTGGAATGCAGCCCGGCTAGCCAAGGGTGCTTATGCCTTGATTTGCGTGCCATAACCTTGGGATTTTGATCCCAAATTTTCCGTGACATTTCTAATTAATTCTAAATTAATTTTAAAACTAATTTATTGAGCAAAATGAAAAATTTAAACAAGTCTAATTTAAAATAAAATTTTCAAAGTGCATGTAACAAAAATAATTCCCAAGAACCATTCTTTAATTAAATTGGTTTAAGTTGGTGCAACAAAAATAAGAGGGCAATTACTCACTATTAATTTAATTAATTTAAATTAATCTTGAGCTTTTGACAAAATAAGAGGGAGTTGGAAAAAAATGAACATAAGTTCAATAAAGATTCCAACTTTAATACTTGTGAATCCTTGAAAGTTATATCTTCCAATGTGAAGATAAACAATTTTCTATCACAAAGATTCAAACTTTATGATTCCAATCAACTAAAAATGATTAAATCAACAAAGTTTAACAAAAATTCATGGAATTTAGTAACATAAAGTTTCAATCACTTAACATAATTAAAGATTGTATCTTTAATACTTGGAAGCCTCAAAGAACAATAATTTCACACTTAATGCAATTAGTTTGCAATTATGTGAAAAATAAAACCAAGCTTTCAAGCACAAATTACTACCAAGTAATCATGCCTAAAGAGGTTTAAAATTGCATATAAAATATGTATTGAACCAATTACATAACCACCATAAATATGCAATTAATTTTCAAGGTTAGAAAGATTTAAAATTTTTCGTAAAAACAAAAAATCCCTCGAAAAGTGCATTTCTGGTCGTTTTTTGGCTAAAAATGGTACCCCGGAAGGATAAAACCATTTCCATAACACATTTTTGGGTCAAAATCTGGGTTCGGGGCTGATGATAGCTTTAATACGAGGTTAAAATAAATAAAACGAGCTACTAATCTAATTAGCACTTCAAGACCAGAAAAATTAGCCATAAAATACCTTCAAAAAATATTATGATTTTAAAAATAAACGAGCGAGGCTCTGATACCGATGTTGGGGTTTAGTAAGTCCAACTTACCGCGGAAACAACCCCGACCCAAAGAACCACTCGCAATTAATAAAACCATAAACCATAACAAATAAATATAAAAGGATAAAATCGAAATTTACCTTTGTGGCGTGCTTCGCCTTCAAAGTCGGGCTCTTACTTGAAAGCTTTAAGCTCCGAAAATACGCGAGCCTCCTACGGAAATCCACCCGCAAAAACTACTAGCGACTTTTAGGTCCGTTACCTCGAAATTAGCGAGGTCCGACTAAAACCCGAGTATTATGTGAGTTTAAGAGTTTTTGCTAATGCAATGCTCTATTGGACTCCTACTCAAGCACTCTTCCCAAAAACCCAAGATGGGTATTTATAGGCAAGAGGGAGAGTGGGAATTTCTATCCCATTAATGTGGGAGTCATGAAATTCCACAATTTATTTTAAAGCTAAATTAAAATAAATAAGCAAACTAATAATAAATCTACAAGTGGCATTATCATATGTAAAGGGTGGTGAGGACCACATGGAGAATAGGGGACCATACTTGCACCCCATTCAATACTCTCCTTGTGCCACATGTCCCTCACCCCACTTGCTCACATATGCTCCCACTTGCTCCCCTAGTACATGGCCCTATGGCCCAGCCACAGCCCGATCGAGAGCCCAGCCCCGTGCGTGTGCTGCTAGCTGCTGCTAGCACGCACGGCTTGCGGCTGCTAGCTAAGGTGCGCTAGCACACACCAGCTGGCCATGCATGGCTCGGCTTGGTGCCCTTGCTAGCCACCTATGCTTGGACATTTTTTCCCCTAGCACTCGGATGCTCGGGGCACTCCGATGCTAGGGGTATTTTGGGAAATATTGGCGATTTGTTATTATTTGCGTGTTTCGTCATTTACTATTTTTTTACTCGACTTCCGGCGCTCTAAGCTCGAATTTCCGACATCTAAATATTTAATACTCGGGCGACAAATTAATTTCTTCCAAATTAATTCGTCGAGTCGGTTCGTTTATTGCTAAGGGTGTGACCCGAAGGGTTCAGACAAGATTAAGCTGTAATATTAATTATGCATTAATATTACTGATCGGAAGCGGCCTCCACCTAGGCATTCCGATCACTTGACCTTACTGAATATATTAGCTTTCTAATAATTCTGAACCCACTAACGAAATAGTACACTTGTTCGAAGGACACCATTCCTTTCAGCAGGAATGTTGTTTTAAAAAGGGAAGGCTTAGAAAAAGGGAGAAAGAATAAGCTTCTAGCTTTAAATAGAGAAGATAAAGAATAGAATTAGATGATTGTTGGTGATCAAGCTTGTTGTTGATTGAAAAAGGGGTGATATAACCTCTATTTATAAGGGAAAAAGAGGGTCGAAGGAATAGAAAAGAATCCGAATTCGAATTGAAATAAAACTCAACGGTCAATAGTCTTTACAGATTTTGTTTTTATCATAACTTTTGATCCAGAAGTCCAAATAAGACATATAATATGTCGTTGGAAAGCTCTTGATGTATACTTTCCAACCCAATTAGATCAGATTAAAATATTTTGTATAATAAAAGATATGGTCGAAATAGTGAGACGGTGTCAGTTTTGGATAAAGTTTCGTATTTCTTTCATATCTTTTTCGTTATAGATCGAAATTAATATTATAATATATCATTGGAGATAATTTCAAGATCTATCCAACCATATAAGATTTGGATAAAAAATATGAGGCATGAAAATAATACCTAATCATCTTTGAACGTCTTTCATTTCGAATAGAATTAGGACTTAAAAAAGGAAAGTTATCCAATTTCAAACTCTTTGATCTTATCTTTTTAAAAAGGATAATTAAGATCTTTTAGAAACTAATAAAAGCTTCTAATAAATCCTTATTTGTTTAGGAATGAGATTAAACTTTTGGACCCTCCACATGATCATTGGGCCATAGGTAAAATCCAGTTTAAGCCCAGTTTAGTATTTTGGCCATAACTTCCTCATTATTCGTCGGAATTGGGCTTATAATATATCGTTGGAAAACTATTTTCGAGCCCAATTCAACTACACTATTATTGGACCTTTATCACGGACCAAACTAAATTGGACTGGACATTTTCATAACTGAGTATATTTTCGAAACTAGAAAGAAAGATATTTTTATTAAAACAATCACATCACAAGACTTTTCACACTTTCACTTCGTTTGATAATCAATAATGTGAAAGATATTCATCACTGAGTTTGGTTTTGGGGAGACATAATTAGGTGTCTACAACCACAAAGAAGACGAGGATGACGACGAAGGGAAAACTTATTGAATGGAGGAAATAGGAATGAAAATGATGAATTGGTAACTGAATGATTTGTTGAAATTTGGGGGGAAATATTAGGGTTTGGACTTTGGAGCTTCGAATTTAGTCGCAATTCACCGTAATCTCCTTCAAATCGATTTGCAATTCATCACAAAGAAGATGAAGACGACGGCGGAGGTCAGTTTGGCTGGCGATTTCCGCGATAAAGAAGACAAAGACAACGACGACGGAGTTTTGGGTTGATTTGGCCAGCAAAGACAAAGATGACGGCGGAGATGATAGAGGTCTGGATTGATTAGGCCAGCAAAGACGAAGACGACGACGGAGATGATGGTGGTATGGGGTGGAGGTGATGGAGGTTTGGGTTGATTAAGGGTTGGAGGTGATTCACATATGAAAGTTTGTGAAAAAGGAGAGATTAATCAATCAACAAATAAAAAGGAAAGATTAATTAATCAACAAATAAAAAGGAAAGATTAATTAATCAGCAAATAAAAAGAAAAGTTTAATTAATCAGAAAATAAAAGGAAAGATTAATCAGTGAGCAAATAAAAAGAAAAGATTAATTAATCAGTAAATATAATGAAAGATTAATCAATGAGTACATAAAAAGGAAAGATTAATTAATCAGCAAATAAAAGGAAAGATTAATTAATCAGCAAATAAAAAGAAAGATTGATCAGTGAGCAAATAAAAAGAAAGATTAATTAATCAACAAATAAAAAAAGGGAAGATTAGTCAATCAGCAAATTAAAAGGAAAGATTAATCAATCAGCAAATAAAAAAGGAAAGATTAATTAGTGAGTAAATAAAAAGGAAAGATTAATCAATCAGCAAATAAAAAGGAAAGATTAATCATTAAGCAAATATAAAGGAAAGATTGATCAGTGAGCAAATAAAAATTAAAGGAAAGATTAATCAATCAACATATAATAAGGAAAGATTAATTAGTGAGCAAATAAAAAGGAAATATTGATAGGGTTAAAAAAAAGGAAATATTGATCAATCAAAAAATAAAAAGGAAAGATCAATGAATGAGCAAATAAAAATGAAATATTAATCAATATCACACGCATCGCGCCTACTATAATCAAGTGAAAATGAATTGTATGTTGATATTATCTAAATCTAATGGTTTAGGTGCTGTTTACTTCCCCTTACAAAAATTAAAATTAAGTAAAATAATTCAGTTCAGTAAAAATAAGTCCAGTTCAATAAAATAAAGTAAGTCCAGCAAAAATAAATTTAGTTTAACAAAAATAATTTCAGTTCACAAAAATAATTTCAATTTAACAAAAATCAATAACATTCAAGATGAAATATATGTGGCATCAATAAAAATAATTGTAGCTCACTAAAATTAATTTAAGTTTAAAAAAAATAATTGGAGTTCTATAAAAATAATTTAAGTTGATTAAAAATTATTTTAGTTTTATTCTTAAAAAAAAAAAAGAAAAAAAAATTCAGTTTTAGTAAAAATACGAGGAAGTAAACCGGACCTTAATAGGCTTATATGCGTTTCATTAATCTACTTCATTTTCCCTTTATTTTCATTTCATTATTATTTTACCCCTCACAGTTTTTCAATTTTACGCTTCACCTCTCCTCTTACTCTTTCTCTCTTCTACTGAAGCGCCCTCTGAAATACTTTGAATTCTCCATTAAAGCGGCTAAGCTTTCTCTCCTCCATTGAAGAAACTTCTCAGGTAATATTTTTTTTCTCTTTTTCTCTATCATCCAATTTCAATTTCTCTCCCAATTTAGGGTTTAGTTTCACACTATCGTTAATTTAATTGTCAGCATTGTTCAGTTAGATTTCTTCTTAGGTAAATTAATAAACTATTGGTTGTAATTACGGAATTCATGAATGATTGTAACGAGCGATTTTTGTTGATTGAATTTTGCTATGTTCAATTTGCGTTCATATTCTTGAGGTTGATGAATTTATGTGTTATTTTGTGCATTGTTTGATAATTGAGTGAAATTGGGTTGCAATTGTGGTGCAGGATGATGTTTATAACCTTGTAATGTTAGGACGAAACTTTGAAAACGGACCTTTTCTCCCTGGGCCAATGGCGGCTGCCTTTCGTGCCCCGGCTCAGGGATGGGCCTGAATTGCTTGATTAATCTCAGTTAGTTGATCAGGAAAATAATCAAACACTTGGTGGGTTGTCAGTTGTCGGGTAATTTTTGATTGTCTGAGACTCTGGCAATGGCTCAACCGCAGAGTGCTCAAGCTGCACAAGTTCCCGGGAAGTCTAATGCCCGTGTCGTGAACCTAGGGACTAATAGTACTAATGCCGGTGTGTCTTCGGCTGTGGGTGTTGCTGCTACTGGTTCTGCGAATACTAAGAAGAGTCATAATAAAAATTCTAGTAAGCAGCAAAGTTCTTCTGGGACTGGTGGTGGTATTCCGTTTAAGACAATGGAGCTTGCTCCAGCTGCTCGTAGGAAGAAAAGGAAGGTTCCGGAGAATAAGTTACCGGAGAAAGTGGCAGCCCTTTTGCCAGAAAGTGCTCTTTACACCCAATTAGTGGAATTGGAAGCCAAGATTGATGCTGCCCTTGCTAGAAAGAAAACAGATATTCAGGAAACTCTAAAAAGGCCTCCCTGTATTCAGAAAATACTTCGTATCTATGTGTTCAACACTTTTGCCAATCAGCCACTTGAAAATGGTGAAAATAAGAGTTCTGAAACTCCTACTTGGACGCTTAAGATAATTGGGAATATATTGGAAAATGGGGGTGATTCCAGCTCTAGGACTATGGATAATAGGTCCACTCCTTACCCAAAATTTTCATCTTTCTTCAAAAAAATAACCATATGCTTAGATCAGACCCTTTATCCTGACAACCATGTAATAGTATGGGAGAGTTCTCGTTCTCGTTTGCTTCATGAAGGATTTGAGATTAAAAGGAAGGGAGATAAGGAATTTACCGCAATTATAAGGCTTGAAATGAATTATAATCCAGAGAAGTTTAAATTATCAGCTGCTCTTACTCAAGCTCTTGGACTTGAGGCAGAAACTCGCGAACGAATCATGACTGCATTGTGGCACTATGTGAAGATGAAGAAGTTGCAAGACTCGAATGATCCGGCATTCTTTATTTGCGATCCACCTCTGCGAGAAGTGTTTGGTGAAGAGAAGGTTAAGTTTGCTGTGGCCTCACAGATTCTCACTCAACATTTAACTCCTCTACAACCCATACATTTAGAGCATAAGATTAAGCTTTCTGGAAACAATCCCAGCGGAAGTATGTGTTACGATGTGCTTGTTGACGTTCCTTTTCCTTTAGAGAAGGATATGTCTGCAGTCCTGGAAAAGATGGAGAAATGCAAAGAAATAGATGATTATGACAATTCCATTGCTGCTGCTATAAAGAAGATCAATGAACATCGGCAAAGACAAGCTTTTTTCCTTGGATTTAGTCATTCACCTGCAGAGTTTGTTAACACATTAATTGCTTCTCAGGATAAAGATTTGAAGGTTGTTACTGGTGACGCAGTTCAGAATGCTGAAAAAGAGCATCGAAGTGACTTTTTCAACCAACCTTGGTAAGGAACATTACTATCTCTTACTGGTCATTAAATATATTAGGCTCCATTATTGCATAATATATGCTTGGCGTTACCTCAATTATTTTTCTGTAATATATAATTAGAGATTGAGTGTATAACGGGTAAAGAATGCACTTTCATTAAACTCCCCTCTCAATTTATAAGGTATTATAAGATTTATTATTAGCCCAATACTGAATGGGCTTAGGTATATTATCTGTGAATCTCACACACCTCTCATGGAGATTCAATGAAGACAGGGAATAAATTTTCCTTGTAAATGTAGTTGGATTTTGATCTTATAGTGAAACTTGAGAATTTTTTCTTGTTGTTTATTTGTCCATATGGAAGGCAATTTGGACATTGATTACTTGATTATTTATTGTGAAGTGAGATGGATTAGCATATTATGTAGCCTGTGTAGGATTAACAGTTGCCTAAATATAATACTTTGCTTCTAATGCATTGCTATTGCCATCATTATTTGTTTTATTGGAGATTAGAGAGTATTATACGGAGAGAAAATTAAAAAGTTTTTATGATATGTAAAAATGAATTTGATTATATATTTCAGTATATTGGCTTTTCCTAGATGTTCATGCCTTAGTTTAGATTTCAGATTGCTAAATAACTGATTATCTTCTCAAGTATTCTTCTTAAAGTACATTCCTAAACTGTATATTGTATGTTCTTGTACATGTGTTATTATTAACTAATGATCTGGAATGTTAAAAAGTCTCATTTCTCAACGCACCAAATTTATTGTAACCTGTAATTTGAGGTCTAAAACTTAAGCTTGTCTATAGCTCCCACATTTTAAGCATGTTCTAATCAATTTAATCCAGTACCTCTAAACCTAAGAGGTTAAGGATGGTAATAAAAGTAAAATTAAAATGAAGTGAGTAAAGAGAGAAAAATTAAAATGAAGTGAGTTAAGAGAGAAAAATTAAGGACAGCATAAGTATTGTGATAGAGGGAGAAAGAAGTTTGGTGTATGGAAAAGAGAAGAATTGTATTAATTACGAATAACTTTTTGGGAATGCCTTATTAGGATGGTGTGAAAAGCAAAAGTATTACTCCACATGCTGATCCCCTTCATTCAATAATTTTCAATTTTTCCATGTCTACTTGCATATATGGTAGGGGTTCTTGATTCCCAAACAAGTATTGTTATAGTTTGGTAAAAAGAGATAGCAGCCTTTGATCGACACAACTGGGGTGTGTCAGATTATGTGAAGTTTTATCACCCTTCAGTATACAAAGGGAGTTAGTATCTATCTACAATAACTATAATATATACTAAATGCAAAACTATATAATTATATTTGGCAATCCTCTTAGAAAGTATTTTTTTACAATGTAATATATTCCTTTCTATTTGGCTATCAGTCCTATCATATTTCTTCCATATATAGCCAATTAAAATAGTATTTTATATCTTCAATATATTATATTCGGGTCCTCTTTGGCAAAAATAGTGGTAACGGGTAGCCTTTAGATGTCAAATAGGAATAGCTAGTAGTTTTATTAGTAGTGGGTAGAGGTTATATATCAATTTAGCAGTTGATATTATAGTGTTTGGCAAAAGTAGCAGTTGAAATATTAAAATACAAGCAAAGCCATACATATTATTCAAGCTACCAAAACGTTACATGTACCACCAACTATTACATGAAACACTGCCTTAACAAATACTTATTTTTTTTTCTTACTTGAGTTTTGTCTTGTCGAAATGCTAACCGCTACCTAAAATGCTACCGCCAAACAATTTCAAAAACTCGATAAAATGATGAAGCAATGCGATAAAATAAAATTTTATTCAATCAAAAATACATTTTATTATGTTAATTCAAAACTATGTAAATCTCTTTTCATTATGTAGAAAATTATTGCTTTATCATGTCACTAGAATTACTTTATACAACAACAACAAAAAAAGCTTTAGTCCCAAAATTATTTAGTGTCGGCTAACATGAATTGTCATAAGGAATCGTACGATATATATATATATAAAAAAAAAACAGACAAACAAATTATTTAATAGATCTTGAAAAAAAGGTGAGTAAACGAAAGAGCATTTATGAAGAATTAAGGGAGCTTTTAAAGAGAATCAAGGATAAAATTCAAGAAAGTTTTAAAAGAGTATTTAAAACATTTAGTTGAAAACATAAAGGTTTGAGAAAACTCTAGCAAAGGAAACAATACAGTTCATAAAACATTAGTGGACTAAAAATAAAATTACAAACAATTTATAAATTTAAAAAGTATATATAATCACGACACGTCGTCGAGTATAAAAATATATTATGATCATAAATGTGGAAAAAAAGGGTTGTAATTGCAAAATGGAAACTGATGAAGCTATAATTGTAGTACTTTATACTCAAAGTGTAAAGACACCATGAAGTTTGTCCTACAACTTTTTTTATAATTCTTTTTGTTAGATATCGTAGAAGGCTAGAATATTTCCTTTTTTTTTTAAAATAAAAAATAAAAAATAGAGCGTATATTAAATTAAGGATGATACTCTCTCACTCACATTCTGTTTTCATCCATTTTCTTAAGTTCTACCCCACTTTGTGGAGCCAACTATGTTAAATACATCCCTTACTCTCTACCCCTTTCTTCTTTAAAGCAAAAGTAGTCGCTTGCGTGGTCTGTAAACGGAAGGAGTGTAATATATATGAGTATAAATTCTTAGAGGTAATTTTTTTATATTTTTTTTATAGTTTAAAGACATATTAACTATGACATAGGTCAAAATGTGCAAAGTTTTCCCGCCGTATTCTTTTCGATTTAAAAAATAAAAAATTCATAAGTATTTCTTTCTATTTAATACTACTACAACTCTATATGGAGGTGTTTGGTTCACATAATTAAGGTATAAGGTATGGGTTTAGAATGATTTAAACCCATACCTTATATTTGTTTTATGATTTTATGAGTTTCAAACCCATACCTCAAACCCCCAAGCTATGGGGTTTAGAAACCTTGGGGTGGAGGTGGGTTTGGTTCATTCCCATACATTTAGGCATTAAATAAAAGAAAAAATTACATTTTATAATCATACCAAACATAAGGTATTAAGAATCAAGTTCTAAACCCATACCACTGATTCCAACCCCATACCAGTTTGCGAACCAAACGCCCTCGATGAGTTATTGAATCTTGCCTTTCTTATATACATAATCTACTTTTATACTGAATCCATTAATAACATATCAACAAATAAGTTGTAAATATATACGAGTAAATTTACAACTACCCAAGTTCATAATCACTGCCCATATTTTGAAAAATAGTACGTGGTGCGTATAGTATATAGTAAGTAATCTAACAATTAAATAAAATAAAATGTAATACTTCTTCTGTTCTTTTTATCTTTTTACTTTCCGTTTTGGTATATATATATATATATATATATATATATATATATATATATATATATATATATATATATATATATATATATATGCTTTATTCCTTTTTTATAAAGTAAAATTTCCACTTTTCATCACTTTTTACCCAACCATATGATCCACATAAAACAATATAATAATAGCAATGTTTTTAAACAATTATCTTTCTTCTACCTAAAAAGTAAAAAAAAAAAAGGACTTACTTTCCACTCATTATAAACCGTAAGTAGGAAGATGAAAAGAAGAACGGAGGGAGTGTATATATGTAAGGGAAAAATTACTACACATAATTTATAATATTGCTAGAAACAAATTTCATAATTTATTATTAAGTTCATGTATCGCACAAATACACGAGCTCTAACCTAAATTTTGATATTAAAATAAAATTTTGAAATGATATGGACACCTTGCCATACATTTCAATAAAGGTAATGAATATTTATAGTTTGTTTAACATTGACTAATAGACTAGAAGGTTACTTTGTTCTTGTTATATTAAATTTTTTTTTCCCATATCCCCTACATTTTTGTTTTCATATTTTTCATAGTAATATCTAAAAGTATCAATAGCCTTAATATCTTTTATACAACCCTAATATTTTTTCTATAGGTGTAGCCTTATGACAAAAAATTTAGCTAGGAGTATTTATTTGATGTGAAGATATACATGGTATTTTGGTATAGTTATTGTTGAACTAACAAATCATTGCATTTCATTATCCCCTGTGCATGGTACTAAATCTCTGCCCCACAACTGCTCAACCACATTGTAAAGGAATTTAAGCTTACTGATATATTGGGCTGCCATAGTTGCATTCCACCCGCGTTGCCCGCGAAAGTGTTTATATGGCTATTATCGCGATCAAGATCACATCCAAGATTTTAAATCATGTCCCTATGTTTTTTTTTTTTTATTTTTTTTTTTATCTTCCTACTTTTCGTTTAGATATGTTCTTTTATACTTTTGCGTTATTTCTATTTTTGTAAAGGAAAATATCACTTTTTACCCTGCCTTACCCTAACTCAGATCTACATTATAGTATTATACTATTAAATAATACCAATGTTTCAACACCCTACCCTAAAAGTTATAAGTGAAATACTTGAGGCTTATACTGAAGACACTTGGTTGTAGACTTGCAGGGCCTCCCTTTAAGAATTCCTAGAAATATATGAAAAATTACAATGAATTTTTTCCAGCATACAGTAGATAAATCCATTAGAATCTCGTGTGTATCATAAAGCTTTTAAATTTACTAGTTGAGGTGAATAAGCGATAATCAAGACGTATGAGATACTTGCATTTATTACTTACTAGGCTTTTAGATCACTATTAGAGCTAATTCTCTATTTTAGTGTTGTTCAATGCATTTTCTTAGATAGCCCTTAGCCAGCGAATCAAAAATTACCTTCACATAGCTAGAGTTTCTTTTTCATTCTATATTTTTTAAAATCATTTTACATTGGAACAAACTATGCTTTAGATAGCTTTATCATCTTACCATTTTCCTCCATGCATTCTAGTTCTTATTTTGTGAATCTATATTTTCATATTTCTTATGGTTAATAATTATTGAATAATATAGTTTCTTATGCTTGAAGTATTTCTAGGTTGCGTATAATTTTGTATTAGTTTGATAATAGTATTGTCCCTTCATTTTTTGACTGTCACCCACAGTCATAACTACTAATAATGTCACCAGTTTAGGTATGCGTGCGATCTTGTACTTGGGACATATGCTGGCTTGTGAAACATAGCTTACACAAATCATTTAGAAGACAATTTTAATTGCTCTATGAGATAATGGTGTTGACTTTTCCTGATTTTGTGAATAGGGTTGGTTAGGTCAGAAAGTAAAGTAATTTTAGTTTTGGACTTGGTGGTTTTTTAGGCAGGCTATTTTGGTCTCAGACTGCAAAGTTGTGATCATAACTCTAATTGTTTCTGGTGGTGTAGAATTCAGTAGTTGGATTTGGCTATCGGGTTTACTTTTAGTCCTGTCTTAATTTCTTCATGCCTGTTAAATATTTGTTCCTGGCTTTTGGAATTTTGCTTCTCTACTGTTGTGCTTTTCTGTTTATTTGATAGGGTACCAGATCAAATTTCGTTTTGAAATCATGTCATCAACTCTTATCCTGAACTTTGATAACGTATGTTGTGGGTGTTTATTTCTATTCACCCAGACTGTTATGTCATTTGTTGGAAGAATGAGGGGACACTAGATGTATATGGACAGTGGATGTGGTTGAATTTTGTGAATGAGAGTGAAGTTTTTGTACAAGGAGTATTAATTTAAAGATTACTGGAACATGAAGATGGTGAAATACATGGGCCCTAGGAGCTTTTGAGAATGGGAAGAAAATACAAATTTAATTTCAATTTCAAAAACTTGGACTTTAGAATACTTATGTATTTTGTTAAGCTTTTACAAGGAGTATTAATTTAAAGATTACTGGAACATGAAGATGGTGAAATACATGGGCCCTAGGAGCTTTTGAGAATGGGAAGAAAATACAAATTTAATTTCAATTTCAAAAGCTTGGACTTTAGAATACTTATATATTTTGTTAAGCTTTTGTGTGTTCAATAGCTAGAGTCTTTTCTCCTGGTAAATCAATAGAGTTAATCAACTAAGAGATTCATTTGTTCTTATGAAAAATCAAATTTTCAAATACACAACTCTCAGGTTAGTACACAAAGCATTAGCACACCCATACTAAGCCACCCATTAAGTACAGATATGCAAGATGTCCAAGAGGGGATTTGAGGGATACATCACCAAGACTTTGTTAAAGGAGTGTGACAGCATTTGTCTTGAAGAGGAAGATGGAAGGGTGCATCATCAAATGACCTAAGAGTTGGTTAGCTTTGGGAATGGTGTCAATGATGAGAGTAGTATGAACTAGAAGGGGAATGTATTTAAACTTTTCCCTTTCTTCTTAAATCCTAGGGTACTAGGTACGTAATTTCTTTAGTGATGATTGTTTAATTGCATTGGTAATGTAACCATTTATCAATTTTTCCTTATATTTCTTCACGTTTGTTTTGTCTACCAAAGCTTCTGTTCAATTACATAGTACTAGAATTTACTAGTGTAGAATCATCCACCTTCCAAGAAGTCCATTCAACCAATGTGCTTTCCTAATGCCTGGGAGTTACCGAAAGGGATCGACTATTCAGCCTTATAAGACCGTTGATTGGGATTGGGCATACTAATGTTTTCTGAAGTGTTTACACTTGCATAAGCTCTTAGTATGCGACCTAATTGCTTAAATTGTGTAGAAAATTATGGTGGACTGAAAGAATGTATCTCATTTTTCCTCATGGTCATCGAGTGATTGGAACTTTCAAATTTTGGGTGGGGGATCGGGAGTAAAGGTGGGGATGGGATGATATTAGGGTTAAGGAATTCTCCATGCTTCAAGTTTGGATTTAATGAGAGTAGTTTTTACCTCGAGTCTCCTTTTCTCTTCCTCTAGTCGCCTCTTTCCCAGTCTCTCATCCTCACGCAAAACTAGGTTGCATTGTGATGAAGGGATGACTCTTCTATCTTGAGCTCAATACTAGGTAGGGCTCCTTGGTGGCCTATGAAGAAAGAGGAGAGATAAGAGTATTGCTAGCAAAACTTTGAAGCAGAAGAAGACAGAAAGATGACTGTTGGCTTGAGAGAGAGAGAGAGAGAGAGATGAAAGAGAGGCAGTTGGTTTGGGACCCTTGTTCAGTCATTCCAGGCAGCCCTTAAGTGGCAAGATTTTGATTATTGATTAATCACCTTTGGCCGGGAGATTGCCTGCTGATTATCAGTTCTCAGCCTTGTAGCTGACTACTAGGAAAAAAAAAAAAACCATATAATTCTGTTGGTATTTAAATTTTGTCTCATTTGGAATCTTTGGGTCTGAGCAATGTGCTGTTTGCTATGATTTCAGCTGATTAATCAAAAAGTGAATTGCCCTAATTTTGGGCAAGATATGTACTAGTAGCAAAGAGTATCAGATTAAGCTTTAAACGTGCTTAGGAGCTGGAGGGGTTACTATGTAGTTGCAGTTTTAAAGAAAGATTTATATACTCTCAGGTTATTGTTAGATTTTGCTTTGGGTTGACTTGATTGTGAAACAATTTCAGTATGCTAATTGTTGTGGAAAAGAACATGTTTGTGGTCAAGGAAGTTGCAATGCTTGTTTCTTTGTTCTTCTAATGGTCTGGTTGCTTGATTATTGTTCTGATAATTTTTGTTGTTTATTCTAGGGTTGAAGATGCTGTTATGCGTTACGTGAATCGCAAAACTGCCAGTGGAGTTGCTGCTACAGGAGCTACATGATTTGTGATATCTAATTAGGTACAAGGTTATTGCATGTTGAATATTGATGATTGGACCTCTATTTTTGGCGTCACAAAACATAATGTGAAATGCTTTTTTGTTCTAAAGATAGCAGCCTAGAGTATATAGCATGTCAATATTATCACAGAGATGAAGCTTAGGACTTCAACTGCCTTGTATCTCATAAGGAAATTTTAGTATTACTAGCGGTATTCTGAGCATGCATATTCATAATCTCTTTTTACTAGCTCTAGTTATGAATGAGATTAAAATGTCAGCTAGTAACCTCCTTTTAATGTCAGATTTCTTCGTTAAAGAACTAGTTCATTTTTTGTAGTTTCACATCATGAGTAATGTAGTGTCACTTCTAATAGCTAGGATTGTAGAAATTGTGATATTATTTAGCCATCAACAGAAGAGGTGTGAGTGCTTTGTTTCACATCCGAATTTGTTGTATTGATTCTTGTATGTATCTCTTCTATTGAAAAGTAATCTTTATCATGGTTGCTACCGTGTAACTCCATAAAGATGCAAAATGCTATGGTTGGTTTGGTCTGAGGTTCAAACTGTTCCATGTACAGAAGAAGGAAAAATGAAGTTTGGTTCAAAAACTTCAGAAAGGTTTAAACAGGGTAAATGAAAGGTTAGGTTTCTTATATTTGCCCCCACTGGGATCTAGTAAATCTAGGAGCGAAATCAACACAAAAACAGGTTAAATCTGCTTGATCGATCATCTTGTAGATATTGGAGCGAAAGCATAACAAAAACAAGGTTGAATTTCTGCAGTCTTCTAGTAGATGTAGGAGCAAAAGCAGCTTAAGAACAGGTTGAATCTTCTCTGATCTTAGAACGTTATATATACAAAATAGAATAGGGATATACACCAATTGAGGAGATTAGATTTGTTTTCTTGCTTTAGCTTTTGCGTTATATTCTACAAAGAATATTGAATATGTATGTATATTTGTTAAAACTAGTTTAGCCACTGTGATACGCATGCAGAAGACAACTTAGTTAAAAGTATTTACTTTCTCTGTTTCTTTATAGGTGTAACACTTCTCTTTTCACATCTGTCGATGCATAATTTCAATCGTTAATATCTTTAATTACTAATAATATGTAAAAACTATAAATATTTGATATTAAAATGGTATAAATCGAGACGAATTTAACAAGATTTCGCATGACTGTATTGTCGTATAGTTATAAATCGTCAAAGCTAGTTAAAATGAAACACATGAATAATGTAAAAATCAAAGTGTTGTAACTTAAAAAAAACGGAGGAAGTATAGAATAAAAGGGTAAATTTAAGTGTATATGACATTATACTTTATCAAAGGATTCAAGGTTCTTATGTGATTGTATTAATATTACTTTTAATCAATTCTTACAACCTAAAACAATATTTTTATAAAAAATATGTATTGTACCTTTTCATGGTTTTTGTTACTAAATTCCTTATATGAATATTTTGCATGGAAAAAAACTCCATATGTAATTTTTTTTGAAGGCAAAAACTCTTTATGTAATTGTATTAGTATTAAAGTCCTCTAATATTTTTTTTTTTTAAAAAAAAAAACTTAATGCATGAATTCAATCACATAAGCCAAGGATTATTTAAGTTCTCATATGAATATTTTTGAATAAAAAATACTCATGTGATTGGTTGAAAGTATTAAAGTCCTTATATAAATATTTGCATAAGAAAATACTTATGTGATTGTATTAGTATTACTTTTCATCAATTATTCTAACCCTAAAACATTATAAATATTCCTTATGTGATTATATTAGTATTACTTTTTATCAATTATTACAACCCAATAATTGATAAAAATATAACTTTTATTTTTTAATTTTTTCTTTTGGAGAATTATAGCTGTTGATATTTAAAAGTTCTGCATTGATAACCGTGATAAATGAAAAAGGTAAGTAAAAAAAGAGCCCTTTCCCTAAATAATGTTGGGAAATTATCTAATTCCCAAATTACAGCTAGTCTTTTTTTAATTCTCACCATACCGTCCACGTCACCGGTTCAGTGGGAATTTTTTTTAAAAACGGGTTTATAAGAAAACCGCTACTTCAAATAGCGGTGTGCTACTGAAAACTGCTACTTGAAGTAGCGGTTTACATATTAGAAACCGCTACTTGAAGTAGCGGTTTGTATTTACTAATTACTGATTTACAAATATTTTGTTTTTAAAGAAAAACTTACAAAACAAACCCATAAAAAACAAACCCATAAACCGCTACTTGAAGTAGCGGTTTTAATTTCATAAATCACTACTTCAAGTAGCGGTGTTTTGAGGAAAACCGCTACTTGAAGTAGCGGTTTACAAAATTAAAACCGCTACTTGAAGTAGCGGTTTGTTGCTGGACCGAGAAAAAAAATCGGTTTGTTTTCCTTAGCTGACGTGGACGGTATAATGGGAATTAAAAAAAGAGTAGTTGTAATTTGGGAATTAGATAATTTCCCAACATTATTTAGGAAAAGGGCTCGTAAAAAAAAAAGGAGGAAGTGGTATATATCCTCTATTAAAAAAAAAAAAAAAAAAACCAGCGCATGCAACAAGCCCGCAACCAAAAACAGTTGCTTTTCCCACCTAGCATTATCTAATTAATCTTATTTGCTATTAAAAAATTAAGTCTCAAAAAAAAAAAAAAAAAAAAAAAAAGGACATGAAGGATTTTATTGAATTTGTTACTACTGTATAATTGCCCTTTTTGCCCAAACCAACAATTCTCTTTTTAGTATGTTATAGAATAATAGTACAACAAACCAGCAAAATCATGTATCAATGGTTTAACAGTATAGAATTTGCTGTTTCAGATTATATTGATAAGTAAAAGTTACTAAGCTAAATTAATTAACAAGATAGACATCTTCCTAAATAAACTGATATTAGAAGGATGAAACTCATATTATACTGACATAATATGAAAGTATCCAATGGAGAGAGAGAAGAAGAAGAAAATCTGAGCTTTGAGCTTCACTTTATTTTTGCTGAATTGAAATTATTTTATAATAACTGAAATTTAGTTTAGGATTTTTTTTACTTATAACAACACAAAATTGTCAAAATTTTGATTATAACACCACAATCTAAAACTTTTATTATAACTCTACAAAAAAAAAAAAAAATCCAAAAATTGGATTTCACCACCAATTAGTGGATTCTGATTGGATGAAATTTGGTTGAGGGACCCACCATGTACAAGTGTCAATAATGCATTGGCTTTAAAAAAAGAAAAAGAAAAAAACATAAACCCTAACCCAACCCCACTACCGGCAACTCTGGTCCCCACTTTTGGTAGCCCCTTCCCAATCCTACCCCAATCACCGACACCCCCATCACCAATGAAACCCACCGAACCGACCAACAGCACGACACACCACCTTAGCCTAACCCTAGCAGCTCTAGCCACTACCCAAAAAATCGGCAGCCTAAATCCATTTGACCCACCCTCCCTTACCCTTCACCCTCAACATGGCCAAAATCGACCATGACAACCCTCGATTGGACGATTTCGATGGATGTTTCAAGGGTGGGGAAATGGAAGTGGTTTTCGCTGTGGCTCGAAGGGGTTAGGGTTGTTTTTGGTAGGAGGAAAGGGTGAAGTCATCGATTTAGGGGGTGGTGGTTGAGCTGATTTTGACAATCAAGGTGGTGCAAGGGGTGTCGACGGCTAGGTTGGGCTATTGGCGGTGGGGGCAAGAGTTGCTAGTGGTGGGGTGAGGGTGGGGTTGAGTTAGGTTTAGGATTTTATTTTCATTTTGGGTTTTTCTAAGTTATGCCCCTAAGGTAGTCGAGTTTCTAAGGTGTACCCATGCTTTTTTCGAATTTCTAAGTTGTGTCCCTCAACTCACTACCATTGATGAATGATACCCTCCTTGGGACTTCCACGTCACTTATAGTTAACTATAAATTTAATAAAAAGATGATAAAAGGTAAGGAAATGATACGAGAAAGAAATCTTAATCACAACAACCCGAATAACGAAAACTAAAGCCACGAAATCACACTCTCAATTAACTTTTAAATAACTAATAAGAGTACATTTTAGTATTGATAAGAAGTTGAAGGGCACGACTAAGAAACCTGAAAAAGCATGGGTACACCTTAAAAACTCAACTACCTTAGGGGTATAGCTTAGAAAAACTCTTTTTTTTTTTTTTTTAAAATCTTTTCTTTTTTTCAAACTAATGCAATATTGACATGTGTACATAATGAGTCCCATCACGTATTTTATCTAAGAAATTTTTAAATGGTGATGAAATCCAATTTATTGAGCTAATTATAAACTGAATTTAGCTTTACTAAGTCTCTATCATAATTGATTTTTAACAAAACTATTATATTTTTAAGATGAAGAGGACAAGACATAAATAAATTGTGTAAATTTAACATGTAATTTTTTTGGCCGTAATTTTGAAATACAATGGCAATAAAATTTTTGTAACAATAATTGTCCAGTTTAACTAATACAATAGCATTAAATACGTTAACACTTTTTTTTTTTTTTTTTTTTGGAAATGTAAAATGTCTTTTATTCCCATGTTAAGAGAGCTTAATCATTTTAAAGTGAATTTTATGGCAAGTATAAAGTCCAGTTTTGTGTCCCTAAATAGGATTGTTTTTTTTTTTTTTTTTTTTTTTTTTTTTTTTTTTTTTTTTTTTTTTTTTTTGACAAGGAGCCAAAAACAAAAGACAAAAAATTAAAAAATAAAACAACCTAAAAGGAAAAACAAAGTAAATCTCTGCAACGAGTTGCAGTCGCAAGAGAATGAGCCTCCGTAACCGAAGACCTACAAACCTTACGAATAAGACAAGTAGCAAACGATGGTAAAATATCACGAATTTCCTGCAGAATCCAAACAACCGATATGTCCTCTTTCCTCCGGCGGAGAATTAACTCTGGAATCACTAAACAATCAGTAAGAACCAAAATCTGCGAAAACCCCCGCAATCGAGCCTGCTGGAGACCAAACAGACATGCTTGCAATTCAGCATGGAGAGCAGAACTAGCCATACAAGCTCTGGCCTCTCCCGACACATTGAGGGGAAGTCTTGGAATGAAAACACCAACCTGTACCAGCATAATGATTCTCCTTCTCCCAAGCACCATCAAAAATCATATAAATGTCACAATCGACATTCAAATCACCACAAAGAGCATAGACAGTAGAAGGGCTCGGGAAACCACGAGGCTTATCGATCTCGAATGTAGAAACCTGACGAGCATCTCGACTTCGTATACACCAAACAGAAGCCAATTCCAAAGTATGACTCGGGGAATAAACCGCAGAATGGAATCTCAT